AGTTTTTGCTATAGGGTATATGTGCTTGCACGTACCTTAGAGCAAAAGAGGGAGAGGAGGACAAAATTCTGACTACATTTTCCTGTTCCAAAGTTGTTTCCAAGGGGCCTAGGAGAGTCATACCTACAAACACTAACAGCTCTGGCCATCAAGAATGGCCTCTGGTGAGGACACACGACCTATTACAAAAACCTCTCCAAGAAAAGAAAAGAAAAAAAAAATGGGATGCTAGGAACCAACAGTTAGCGTAATGGCTATGTCGCTGGACTCCCATGTAGTTGACCATGGTTCGCGTCCCAGACCCGGTAGCTTAAAACTCATGCCGGGCGCGTGTGCGTGTGTGCCCAAGATCCCGAGAGGAGAATGGAGGAGAAGGGATTGCGGCGTGACCATCCCCCCTGGGGGGTGATTTCTCGCTTTCTGTCTCTATGTCTCTCTCTGTCTGTCTGGTGAGCACACGCGCCCTATAGTGAAAAATCTCTCAAAAAAAAAGAAGAGTGGGATGCTACTCCTGTCCCAGGCATAGTGTTTTAGGAAGCAGAGTAAGTCTTAACGCTCAGAGTAAAGCACAGACATTCTTTTGCTGATTTTTTTTTTTTTTCAGGAACAAAGTCTTGTGTTTTTCTTTAACCAATTACTAATCTAAGAACTTCAAACTCTCATATAACCTACAAGACTGTGTTTCCACATGTCCCACCTTTCTGGGCTGGACCAATGTAAAAGACTCTTTATGTTAATTGACAACTCTCTTGTCCTCAAAAATACATAAAAGGAACCAGTGTATCTCAGCACCCCTGAGAAACATGCTTGTCTTTCTCCGGGTAGGCCACTCAATCTCGTGCTTAGTGATGAACCCTACTACTTATTATTTCTAGAATTAGTTATTTCCATCAAAGTGAGAAATCACTCCCGGGGGTAGAGGGTGGCCATGCCACAATCTGTTGTACCCAGGTCGCAAATTCCCAAAAGACCACCAAGGAGCCGATTCCGATGTAAGCACATGAGGGTCACTTTTATTCAGGCTTGAGCCAGGACTCCCAATCTCACCAGCACAGCGGGTCAGAGTTGAGAGCCCTGTGTGTTAGTTGGGCTGGGTTTTTATTTGGCTGTTGGCGGGGGAGGTCAAGGGGCGCTGAGGAATGCACTCAGGCAGCTATACATTGGCTGTAGATTTCAAGAAGCATAGTTGTCTTATACTGATTGGCAAGAAAGTTACTTCAGGTCTTTGGTATTTCCTTCTTTTTTTCATCATTGGCCAGCCCCGGTGGGGTGATGGTTTTATGACCTTCTCCTACATGATTGGCTCACCTCCTGGAAATGGCACCGATTCTCAGCAAGGTGGGTTTAACAAGATGGAGTCACCCATAAAAAATGGAGTCAAATCCCTTCCCCTCCAATCTTCTCTTGGGATTTTGGGCACACATGCATATGTACCCCACATAGTTTTCAAGCCACTAGGTCTCGGACTCAAACCATGCAGTTGGCTGCATGAGAGCCAGATGCCTTAATCTGCCAAGTGCTTTGCTCTGAACGGGATTTTTCTTTTTAAGTTGTTTTTGTTTTTTGCCATAGGGTCATGCACTGGCTGGAGAGAGACAGAGAGAGGGAAAGTGAGAAATCACCCCCGAAGGTGAATGACCATGCTGCAATTCCTTCTCCTCCATTTTCCTCTTGAGGTTTTGGGAATGCATGCACATGTGCCCAGCGTGATTTTCAAGCCACCAGGTCTAGAACTCAAACCACGGTCAGCCATGTGGGAGTCCACCGCCTTAGACACCACAACACCTGCTGGTCTCCCTGAACAGAATTTCTAATAGAATTTGCAATTTGAGGGGGCCAGCAGGTGGCGTAGTAGTTAAGGGCACTGGACTTCCACATGGCTGACCGCATTCGAGTCCTGGCTTGCTTTCTCACTTTCCTTCTCTCTCTGTGTGTTTCTCTCTGTTCAAATTGAAAAAGTGATAATAATGATGAATAAAATAATTCTTTAAAAAAAGAATTTGCAATTTGATTCAAATATGTATATAGAAAAAAATAGTAAGGGTTAAGAATAGCTAAGACAAAGAACATAGTAGAAAGATTTGCCCTACTAGGTCAACACTCATTATAAAGTTTTAGTAATTAAGTCAATGAGGGGCCAGCAGATGGTGCCGTGGTTAAGGTGGCTGCATCCCACATGGCCGACTTCATGGTTCAAGTCCTAGACCCGGCAGCTTGAAAGACAAGCTGGGCACATGTGCTTCTGTGCCCAGAATCCTGAGAGAGGAATGAAGGAGAAGGGATTGTGGTGTGGCCACCTCCCCCCACTCCTGGGGGTGGGGTTTGCGTTCTCAGTTTCTCTCTCTCTCCCTGGCAAGCACACACACCGTGTAACAAAAACTAAAATAAATAAATAAATAAACAGGCAATGAGTTCCTGAGACAGGGAGAGAATAGTACACAGTGGAACAGAAAGATACCCATGCACATGGGGAAACTTGCTTTATTTCAGAGATGCCATTAGAAGTTAATATGAAAAGGATAAATGGTGCCAGGACCTTATGCAAAAAAGAAAGAGGAAAGGAAAAGAGAAAAGAAGGGATCCTATCTCACAACATTCTCAAATGTCAATTTAAAAGGGTTGAAGACTTAAAAAAAGAAACTCTAAAACTTTTCAAAGACAATATAGGAAAATATCTTTTGATCTCAGACTAGAGAAACGGGACTTCAGCTGGACAGTGTCTCACCTGGGTGCAGAAACCAATTTTTGTGCTTGAGGAGAATAAAAACAAAACAAACAAACAAACAAAAACCAGAAACTATACAGGCCCCAGTGTGCGCTGTGGAAGGAGGGAACCGATTAAGGCACTGTCCTTGCCCTTAGGAGCTAAGGTCCTGGGGCAGGGTCTGATGCCCACACACGGACCTGCAGTCGCTTGGGTGAGTGAGGTGGCCCCGTGTGGTAAGTGGCAGGGGTGCAGTCACTTGTGTCCAGGGCACTGTTTTCCACAGGAGGTGACCTGCGAGCTCTCAGGGCGACCAGAAATAGCCTGATGGGAAAAACAGGAACAGCACTGGCGGCTGCAAAAGCTCAGGGTGGGAGGTGCTTAGGTAGGCGTGGCCTGTCTGTGCCTCCCGGTGGTCCCTGGGACATATGTCCTGGGTATGTGCGGGAGGGTTTCCTGGAGTATGTCAGAGGAGGAGTGTCGAACTGGGCACCAGAGCATGGCAGCATCAGGGCAGTCACCAAAGGTTGGCTTAGGAGCCCTGGTCACTGGTTTGTTACTCCCTAAAAGGCCACCAGTCAGGCGGGAACTGAGCCATAGGAGGCAGGAAACAGGCTTTGCTCAGGGAGCCCTGTCCACGGCCCCGATCACAGCGACTGGACAGGGTCCTGGACATGACACTGTGACAGTGGAGGGACTCAGCCAGGCAGGGTAACGGGGACATTTGGAAGAGGAGACCAAGCCAGTCCAGGCTGGGTCAACAAGGGCAGTGAGGGAGGAACTGCACCCAGGCTGGGCCCTAGGGCACTGCAGCTCAGAAGCACCAGGGCAGATCTTTCTCCGATTTTAGATCTCAGCTCAGACGTGACCTTCACCGAGAGCCCTCCCACCACACCGTGTCTAGTGGCTCCCACTGTAGCCCTTCACTCCGGCCAGGGTCGCCACCTTTGCAGCCTGTTACTGTCTGCAGCGAACGCGTCTGCCCACGGGGTCACTGTTTGTCTCCTCCTTGGCTCCTGTCCCCACCATGTTTAGCTGAGCAGCAGGCCTGGCATGGCATAGGCTGGGTGTGTGCTGAGTGATTCACCCCAGCAAGACAGTTCAGGAGCTACGTGGCCCCGGGCCCATAGTGGGTCAGACTCAGTGGCCTTCAGGGTGCTCTCATGGTCCTGTCTCAGGGGGTTTGCTCAGAAACCAGGGTGGCCCTGACAGCAGGGTGACAGCCAACTTTGGGGGTCCCGTATATAAAGCCAGTGTAGCTGAGGTTCACATGACAGGCAGGGTACCCCGAAATAGGTGGGGATGACAGAAGAGGAAGTTGAGGCTCCATCTTTGCCCGAAGTCACAGGGCTCGTACGTGGTGGGCCAGAAGTCACCCCTGCCTGTGCTTGTCGCACGCAAATGCCCTCTCCCCATGAGGAAGCTGCCACCTGCCCTTGGCTTGAACAGCCAGGGAGCTCTTGCTGGGATGTGGATGTTGGGGCCCCAGGGGTTGGGAACCTGAGCGAAAGCAGACTGCTCTGGACTGAAGAACAGTTTCCAGAAGGTTGAGGCCCGGCAGGGGTGGAAACGGAACAGGGAGGCATTTGTTCTAGGGAAGGCGCTTGTTCTGCCATCTGGGCTGGTTGCCTTCCTCGGCACCCCAAGCTGGCCGCCAGAATGCCACACCAAACACAGGAAGGGTTAGACCATTAGATTATGTGCAGAGTTGCTTCAAATAAGTGACGAAGGAGCAGTCCTGGGCTGCAAGGGACACCGTGTTTGCTCACTCCTCTGGCCCATCTGGGCCCAGTTCAGCCTTGGTTCTAGACTCAGAACTGGTTAGAATTAGTCCTCAACTGAAATACCTGTAACACCAGGACAGTAACTGGGCCTGGATCACCTGCAACGGGGTGAGATAAGGCACATGAAGGGCCCCAAACAGGGTCCTTTCACAGGAGCACTTAGCTCCTGAGGTCTGACCTGTCGCATAGAGGCTGAGTGGCAGAGTCCTACGGCCTGGAAAGTTCTTCTCTCCTGCCATCTAGTGCACATCCTCGGTATAACACCCAAGGAGAGGCCTGCCTGAAAAGCTCTTTCCAAAGCTTTCTGCGTCAATGACCCGTGTGCCCTCACCTGAGGGCTGGAAGCTGCCCACTGGGAAGTGGACTCATCGAGGTGAGACCTGGCTCATCTGGAACGGACCACCTTCCCACCTGCCTCTGACCTGGGCATGGCTATTTCACCCTCCCGTCTTGGCTCCCAGGGCAGTTTGGAAGTCAATGGTGTGCTTAGAAAGCCTCTTTAAGTCTCCATGTTTGGGGAGACAGGGTGCAAACTAAAGATTTATTTTGCAAGTGATGGAGGCAGCCCAGGAGACCCAGACTCACAGAAAGCTTGGATATGGGGAGACCAGAGAGGCCGGTAGGACCCAGACTGTAGCCCAGGGAAAGGCAGGGAGGCAGCCCATGGAGCCACCCCAGGCCCCAGCTTCACGGGTCGGGGGGGCCTTGGCAGTCACTTCCAGTTGCAGCATTTGCAGGAAGGGTCAAACACCAGGCCTGCTGGGCAGCTCTGTAGGAAGAGCCGGCCCCCTGCACAGCTGTAGAAGCTGGACCGTTCCCGAGGGTGGGCGTAGAGTCCGTCAGCTCTTCCCTGGCAGAAGGTATCTTGTCCTGGGCTGGGGCCAGGCTCAGGCATAGAGGGTGGGCCCAATGTGGGGACTTCAGGCTGTGGGGGGCCTGGAGGCATGTATGGAAGACCTGGGGAGACAGTGAAGATTCACCCAAGGCTCCCCACGGCAGGCCAAGCACACAGGCAGCAACCAGAGGCAAGTGGCTGTCTACACCCTCCACACAGCCAGCACTCAGGGATCCCGGGCAGGGCACAGCCAGGCAGGAGCCTCACCCACAGCCTACAGCCGGGCACAGCTCAGCACACAGCACCCGGATGAAAGCACCATGGGCACTGGATGGCCATAGACAATCTGCAAAACCCAGCCACAGGGGTGAGGGGAGTGGGGTCCCCACCATAGGCTGAGTGCGGGCTTTCTCTTTGGTAAGAAGAGCAAGCTGCTACCCCAGGCTGAGGGCCCTGGAGGGGAGCCCTGTCACAACACCTGGGCTGGCATTGCCAAAACCAGGAAGAGACGAAGGAAGAGTGCAAGAAGAAAATCTGTTTCAATAGTTTCTTCAGCTTCCAGGGGTGCACGCAATTTGGAAATCACAGTATTGGGGCACAGCCACTTCCTCAGAAGGGCCCAGGACCTGTGGTTTGGTGGGGGATTTGTACCCAAACCCCATTCCACCTCCAGCGCCTGGCCCTTTACTCACTCAGCTCCCGCCGCAGGGTCTGGATGAGGGGGTACCGGCCCTGACTGCAGAAGGAACCGCTGAAGTCGTCCAGGTCCAGCGCCCAGACCATGGCCCCGCCCAGCGCCTTCTGCTTCAGGTAGCTGACCTGCGGATGCGGGAGAGGTGGGTGGAGGGCCCGGGAAGCCTGGCTTCCTCTTCTGGACAGGCCCCTTTCCCTCCAGCCCTTGTAGGCCCAGGAGTGGTCGGAGCTCCCGGAGACAGGCATGTGCTGGGAGTCCTGATGTCTGAGTCCTGGTCCCTGCAGGGCACCAGTCATGCTGGAAAGCCCTTCCCGGCCCTAAGCATGGCCTGGGGTGGGGTGGGGATGGAGAGGTGAGGAGTGACTGGTGCAGGGCCTCCCTAGGTTGGAAGCCTTAATGTCCTCGTCACTTTCGGTCAGAGATGAAGGTACTGTCTGTGGGCGTGGTCAGCTCAGTCACCGCAGAGAATGACCAGTTCCCAGAAGATCGGGATCAGGTTTGTGCCGTCTTTGTGTCTTTGTTCCCCCACCATACCAGGGCCTTTTCTCCTCCACCAGATTCCTGAGGCTTCCTGCGGGCATGGCTGTGTTCCCTCACAGAGGGCTTTTCTGTGCCCTAACCCTGCCAAGACTGGGGGCTGGAGAGCAACGGTGACCCAGACCCCTTGCTGGCCCAACCTGCTCTGGCTGCTCCCCTCTGCACCCGTCCCTGCTCAGGGTCCAGCTAGGTGGGCCTCCACCTTATCCTCACAGTCCAGCCTCTGCCTCCTCTGCTGTGGCCACTTTCCTCCCAGAGTGTCACCTCCTGCCTGTGCTCTGGGGCCGATCTCAGACACCTTCCACCATGACCCTACCCCAGCCAGGACTGCTCTCCCTCCCCCATCTTCCTTGAAGTACCTTGTCTACACTTGGAAAGCACCCACCCTGCGTAACATGTGGCGTGGGCCACACAGACAGGCAAGTGCAGCTCCCTCTTCAGGAGCAGAGATGTCATGGGAAGGAGGCCCAGGGTCCCAGTAGCGGGCAGGTCATAGGTCAAGGTCTTTGATGTCGCCATGACTGGATAACATCCCACGCCTCAGCAGATCTACTTTTCTTCTCCATCTGTCTTTGTGTTTAGTAAAACTGATGTGTCTACGGGGCTACTCGGTGGAGAGCAATGCTTTGTAGTTCTTCCTTTCCTTCATCATAGGTGGTAAAGGTACCGAATGCTATCCCATGGATGCGTGTACAACATTAGAACATGTAGAAAGAGACTCACCCTTGAAGAGGTTCTGATGCTGCCAGTTGATGTGATTGACAGACCCAAGGCCCACCCCCCTCCCAGCAGGCCTGGGCCTCACCTTGGTCTTGAAGCTCTCCACGTCATCAAAACCCACCCACTGGTTGTCCCGGAAGGCATAGGGCACCTTCTGGTCCTCGATCCTGTGCTCAGTGGCTCCCTTCCAGGAGCAGAGCTGCGGGGGCAGAGGGAAAGGGGTGGATGGAAGCTCCTGCAACACCAGCCCTTCCCTCCAGGAGGAGACTGGAAACGTCCTCTCTGAGGAAGACGAGAGCCCAGGCGAGTCTGCACTGAGTGACCTGGAGTCTGGGTTCAACTCAAGGCACCGGGGCTTAAAGGTAAATCCGAGGAGGCTGGAATGGATGAAATCTACCTGGCTAGAATCCTGGGGGCCTGGCACCCGCGCTCAGAAACTACAGATCAAGGCGCCCTTTCCCCCGCCCGAGGGCATGCAAGTGGTAACAGTTAATCCTACCTCATAGTAAGCCAGTATCCCCCCTTCCTTGGTGAAGGGTCCTGGGGTGCCAGGCCCTGTGGCCGGGGCCCCCACTCTGGTGTCTGACGAGGAGGCTAGGGTGAAGGATCGTCCATAGGTGGGCATGCCAAGGACCAGCTTGTGGGCAGGGGTCCCCTCCTGCAGCCAGTATTGCACAGCTGCGTCCTGGGGAGAACAAGGAGGGAAGGGTTACTTTTCTCTGCCTTTGACCTGGTTCTGATTGTCAGAGATTGGGTCTCCAGAGACAGGAAGGAGGTCAGGGACTCCCCAGGGGGAGCTTCAGTGGCCTTTATTTATGTTTTTTGCTATAAGGTACCCTCATTCACCAAGAGAGACAGAGAGGGAAGCAGGAGAGAAAGCAGCCTCCCCCCCCCACACACACACACACCATAATCCCTTATCCTTCATCTTTCCCTCCTTGGATTTCGTGCACACATACAGATGCCTGGTGTGTTTCTCAAGCCACCAGGTCTAGTGCTTGAACCTCACAGCTGGCCTTGTGAAATCTAGCCACCTTAATCACCAGGCCACAGAGCTAAACCTCAAGAGCGTTTATTTGTGTTCAACCCTGCCTGCTCTTCTGTAGAAGCCTTAGCTCTTCAACCCCAGTAAGATAAGCCACATGGCACTATGGCCAAAGAATAGGGACTCTGGAGTTCCTGAAACAATGTCCCTGCAAGAGGTCTCCCTGCAGGCCAGGCACCATCCTAGGTGCTCGGGATACATCAGTGAACAAAGCAGACAGAAATCTGCAACTCACTGAATATTGTTGAGACTTGGGTTTCCTACCCATGAGGTGTAACAGAATAAAGATACCCACTTGGATGAGTGTTGGGAGAATTAAAGGGTACAACACACGTATAAGGTCCACACAATGCAGTGAAGGCTGGGTAGGTCATTACCGTTATCATTATAAATTTTTCACATTGAGTATAAGGGCAGGGAATTGGGTCCTTTTTTTGTGTGTGTGAGAAGGAGAGGAAGAGAAAGAGGAGAGAAAGGAAAGAGAGGGAGAGGGGGATGGTAGTCACCAGGGTCTAGCATGTTGAGACCCACCCACCATAAACTCTGAGTCAGCAAGGACCACAGATTCATGCCCATCCTGTTTAAGCTGGCCTGGAAACCAAACCCACATGGCTTGAGTCTTGGGCACTGGTGCCCTATTGCTTGTGCCACCGCGGCAGGCCTGGGTCTGTTTAATTCAGCGCTGGATCCTTAATGCCTAGAACAACACCTGCCACTGGAGTGCACAGAGAGAAAGCAAAGCAGTGCGTGGCTTCCTACCTGCCTCTGAGCGAGATCTTGGCTGACCTGGGATCACTCGATGTGATTGTCCCAGGCCCGGGATGCAAGCTGGTGCCCGACGTAAGTGTGCTGGACTAGTGAGGATTGACTCACTTTCCCCAGGAAGCCACCCTAGCTGCATCCAGATCGAGTCACTCCATGTCCTCTTGGCATTTAGATAAAGAACAGCTTTCACTGTGTTTATTTATATTTGTGTCTTTCTGTCCGTCGACATGTCTCTGCGATTAGCCTGACGCTTTCTGAGAGCAGAGGTCAGGGCCCCCTGCTAACCTACAGTGCTCTTTTATGCAATTTTGGAAATGTCCCTCCTGTGGCCAGAAGCTATCCCCAGACACACAGACACACAGACACAGCATGTGGAGAAGAAGCCTGTCTGTAGAAAGCATCCTCCATGGATCCAGAGCACCCAGAGGGAGGAGACAGTGCCAATTAGACCTCAGTCCCTCTCAGTCCCCATTAGGCTGGGGGCTCCTCAGGGCTATGGCTTCCTCAGGGGCTCCTCAGAGGGGGAAAACATTTTCATTTAGGGCTTTTGTCATTGCTGGTTTTTTTTTTTTTAAGGAAAAAAATAATCTAAGTATTCCTAATTTTTACAACACAGAGTGGGCTTATAAAGAAAATACCTAGGTTGCTCAATGAGGAAGAGTTGGGCAGGAGAGCCCAGTTCACTCCCTGGCCCCAGTCTAAAACAAAGCCTGCCCTTCTGAAGGGCTGTGGGAGTGGGGGTTGTTCTGCCCTGAGGGACCCCCACTGAGATGTTATCAACTTGGGAAAGAGCCTGGCCCTGAAAGCACCTTCCAGAAGGTCATCAGGGAGCAAAAGCTCACCCTGTGTCTTGAAGGAAGTGGGGTGGGGTGTGTGAGGGAGGCGGGAGCGGGCTGGCTCTGGCTCAGGCCTCCCCATCGGTCGCTTATTTGTTTGCTGTCACTGAATGAGTCTGTGTCTGCTATCAGCCTATCAGCCTATCAGCCTACGTGCCATGGAAGCGAGGTTTCCCCTCGGCAGTGGTGTGGACCAAGCAAACAAACGACAAATAAGCAAAGAAAGAAAGAAACAAAAGCCGCAGTTGTTCAGTGCCCTGCCTAGGTTTCCTGTATTCTTTTCTACTAGAGCCCTGAGAGTCAAAAGAAGCCACTGAGCCGGGAAGTCCAGCCTCATCCCTGGGTCACTTACCACGTTGAATTCGGCCACTGCCCCGCTCTCTCCCTGCCTCTTGAAGAGGGGGCTGTTATGTCCTGTGACCTTCTCCCAAGAGCCGTGGAAGTCGTAGGCCATGAGGCTGAGAAAATCCAGGCTCCTGCAGGAGGTGTGGAAAGAGGGGTTGTAGGGCTCGCGAGCTCTCTCACCCTTCCCTCTCTCAGCCTTCTCTCACTCACGTGTGAGCACGCACTCTACCATGAATAAAGAAAGAAATTTTAAAAACAAAATAAAATAATTAAAAACAAAGAAGAAAGCAATCTGACTATGGTGTTTAAAAGATGGGGCCTTTGGAAGGATATCAGGATTCAATACAGCACACCCCGGGGTTGCTTGGACCCCGGTGGTTTATAAGGGGAGGGGCTGAGACAGGAAGACACACCCTGCTCTTGCCTTCTCACCCTGTGATACCCTGTACCACCTCAGGACCCTGCAAGGAGTCCCCACCAACAGGAAGACTCACCTGATATGGCCCCTTGGCTGTGGGCCTCTGAAACCACGTACTAAATAAACCCCTGTCCTTTGCACATCACCCCGATCCAGCTATTCAGTTACTAAGCAACAGAGAATGGGCAGAGAAGGTGGCTGGCTGACACTGAGCACGGAGGGTGGGGAGCGGCTGTCCCAGGTGCTACACCTAGTAGGAGAACATCCGCCCTCCTCCTGGGGAACTTGGTCTGCACTTGGCTTCTCCTCCCTCGGTAGAAGGGGGTCCGGGTCATCTTCCTGAGACTCACTGAGCAATTTTGTCCACTTCATATCCAGCGTCCACGTAGCTTCGCCCAGCTGGGACAGCCGCGCTCAGAAGGAGCCGTTCCTTCCCTGAGGTCTGAGCTTCCTGCTGGAAGGCGCTGGCCAAGTCCTGCGGGGGCAGATTGAAGAAAACACAGGCAGGGGCTGGACAGCCCCACGAGCCCCCAGAGGTGTCACTCTCAGGAGTGTGAACTGCCCACTGGCTGGTTGTGCTATGCTAATCCTGATGCAGGTGATGCTGGAGACGGAGCAGCTCCCCCCTGTGCGGGCCACAACTCAGGGTCTCCTGGCAGACCAGGTGACAAGTGACCCTCCCCTGCCCAGCATACCTGTACCAGGGCTGTGAAGCGCTCCTTGTCTTCGGCAGGGCTTCCCCTGCTTCCTGGGTACTCCCAGTCAAGGTCAAGGCCATCGAAGCCATATTTGCGCAGAAACGCGATGGCTGAGTTGACAAAGGTCTGACGGTTGTTGGCCGTGGCCACCATGTCTGTGAACCTGTGAGGTGGTAACAGGGAGCATGGGCCTTCTGGGACCAGACAAGTCAGAAAACACTTGAGATTCTGGTGTTCCACAGCCTGGGAGGTGCTCTGGGAGTCCTGCCTCAGAGGCTGCTGGGAAATCTACCGATGAGCCTGGCCAAGGGTTCTCTACCCCCAAGCATTAACATAATCGGGGGCACATGGACGTGCTGGCGGCCCTGCTCCCCAGAATTTCCTTCAGAAGCTTACGGCTACATCCCTGAGCTGCCCCACCCTGAATCAGAGCTAGGGGTCATCCCTGGCAGATAAGTTTTAAAAAGAAGAGAAATCCGTTTCTAAGATGGAAGTTACAGCCAGGTTAGCGGAGCCCTGTTCACCTGCGAGCCTGCCGTTCTAGCTCCCGGGCGGGCTAACCTGGTCATCCTAACTTGCACTGGGAGAGTGCTGTTACTAGTCTTGAGTGCTCCTAGTCCCCCAAACCACCCCAAGACCACCTCTCTCCATCTTCCTTCAGTGTCCCTGTAGGAAGTCTCTGGACTTCTGGGAGGATCTTAGGTTATAGACTGATGCTATTTTAATGTATTTTTATTCATTTATAATTTAATTACTAGCAGCAATTCTTAAGTGGGGTCCATGTGCCTGGAGACACCAGGCTAAAACCCCCTGAATGTCAATGAAGAAATTATCTGCACATGAGTATTATTTTGGGACGATGAGTCATAACTTTCATTGCATTCTCCAAAGGGCTTGTCACCCGAAAAGATTTTAGAAAGACTGAGCAGACTTTTGGGAATCATATTCTGGATTTTCTAGGAAAAGTCTATTTCTTAGTAACCCATCCGTCATCTCTATAAGTCATCAAAGTTGTCCCAGAAATGCCAACATTTTGGCATGGGAGCCCAGTCTCACAGATTGTCCTTTACATCAGAAACGTAACACGAATTCTTTCTCAGACGAGATATCCCATTTCAGAGCTTGGAAAAGAAGACCCTCTATTTCCCGGGATTAGTCGGACTCCTCCCTCTTCCCCATCTTATGGAAGAAGAGACTGAGGCCTGAAGAGGTCAGACTCTGAGCTGTGTTTAGACCTTACACTTCTGGCAAGACTGCTCTAAGCCCACAACCGATGGGGCACTGAGAACCCAGAGGAGTCAGCGGAGTCCAGCCCCTACTGCCCCGCCCCCCAGTCCCACCACACATCATCCTGGCCCCAAATCCCTGACCAGGGCTCCCTCCGGCCAGTGTGTCAGGTGTCCCCATCCCAGGGCTCCGCACGGGGGCCCACTGTCAGCTCACTTCTGAGTGCCGAAGTTCCAGCCTCCAACGGCCAACAGAGTCTTCAGCTTGGGATTCCTAGGGAGATAGGAGACATGCCAGAATTCACTCCGCCAGCTCCCGGGCCTCCCGATGGGTGGGGCTCATGGGGGGAGGGAGCACAGGAGCAGGGCTGCAGGGGGCTCTGTGCACAGTCTGTACTGAGCATGCTGGAAGAAGAAGGCTGGACGCTAGGAAAGAGACGGGCTGTGGACTTCGAGGTCTTTCTGTCGGCCTACGGAGACATGGCTTGTGTGCACAAGCAAGAATTCAGGGAGCAGGCCGTTAATCGGGGTGGGTTCTCAGAGAAGTGTTTGTTTGTTTGTTTTTAACTTGCTATAGGGTGTGGGACCAGCAATTGGCATAATGGCTATGTCGCTGGACTCCCATGTAGTCGACCACAGTTCGAGTCCTGGACCCAGTGGCTTAAACTCACACTGGGTATGTGTGCGTGTGTGCCCTGGATCCCAAGAGGAGAATGGGAGAGAAGGGATTGCGGTGTGGCCATCCCCACTTGGGGGTGATTTCTCGCTTTCTGTCTCTCTGTCTCTCTTTGTCTTGCTGGCAAGTGCACGTGCCCTAACAAAAACCTCTCCAAAAAAAAAATTATATATATATATATACATACATACATATATATA